ATAGCTGGACTATGGCTTAGCTGGTTCTGGGAGTCTAGCTAGATGTTGGGGAATCTGCCATAGAGATTTCTGAGTCAGTCAGGCTTTACTTAGGGAATCTGCCATAGAGATTTCTGAGTCAGTCAGGCTTTACTAGCGTAGCAATCCGCTACATACTTAAAAGGGTCGGTTAGTTATCGTGCATGCAACAATCAGTATATAAAATGAAATATAAAATCATTTTTTCTTATTTGTAGCAAGTAGAAATCAAAGTACGATTTATAATTATGAAAAATAAATCAATCGAAAAAAGTTGATAATATTTCAAGGAATCATTTAATTTTAAGGCACCTTTATTTTAAAAATTAAAAAAAGTTTAGCAAAAATGACATTTTTGATTCCACAAGAATAGAATCTAATTTCTGTTCATGAACGAGAGATTTAGGAATTAAATAAGAATTATATATATTGAACACTACTAACCCAAATATGATCGGAGAATAAGGAGATGACTTCTTTGTCCACTGAAGAGGCGTCACCTTAATTTCCTGGCTGCAAAATTCTGTACATCTTGTTTTCCTTTTAAAGGATGATGATGGAAAAGTTTATCGAGGCTGCTTCGAATTAAAAATGTTCATGGAGCTTGGATATAGCAGGGTTTTTTTCTGATTCATTGACTCACAAATCTAAAAAATAAATACTCCCTCTTACATGTGAATATGCTTCCTGTCATGAAGTACGCGCATCTTAATCGTGAACAAAGTTTATATTACTCATTGGTTCGATAATTCCATATTGTTGTTATTATTATTATTATATCAAATGGCAGGTGTTTTGAATATTTATCATTAGCCATTTAGCTGACTTTGTGCTTCGCAGAGGGAGTAAAATCAAAGTGAGAACAATTCGGAAGGGGGAACAGAAGAGTGATTCACAGATGTAGGGAAAAGGTAAGGTGAGTACTGTGAAAGGAGTCGAATATGACATACAGTGGGGTGATGGTAGTTTGAAGTCAGAAGTCAGCTGCCGGTTTATAGACTTTTTTGCCGTATGAGTATACTTTGCCCAGGGTGCACCATGTGGAGGTAAGTCTATCATTGGTTCGATGATTCCATATTGTTAATTATTAAACAGGAAATTAGGGAAAACAAATATTTAGTTATATCAAATAGGAGGCTTTATGATAATCATCATTAGCCCTTTAGTTTAGAGAGTGGAGGAAGATTAAAATCACAAAAAGTCGAGAGGTGGAAAAGAAGAGTGATTCATAGATGTAAAAGAGACAGACAAACAGACACAACGACAGAGAAAAGGTAAGATGAGCATTGTAGAATTGGTTGAATATGACATATAGTCGGGTCATGGTAGTCTGAAGTCAATTGCCGCTTATAGACGTTTTTTGCCATATGAGAATATGTTTTCCAGGGTGCATTTCGTGGAGGTAAGTTCAGAGAGAACAAATTTAAAACAAGCATAAATGAATGTCGCGGAATTTTTCAATCACTTAAAGTTCATGGGCTGAATGCATCTTTATGTCACAGCGGGCGTAATGCGGAAGAGTTTTAAAACACTTTAATGTTTACCCATAAGTATTTGCCAGAAATTAACATTTTTGCACCAATAATACAACTCGATTAACGAATGACGTATATGTCGATGTGGAAGTGGGGGAAGGGGGGTAGGGTAGAGAAGGTTGAGAGTAAACATTGGCAAGACACAGAGCTTTGAAGTGTGCTTAAATGTTTCCTTGCAACTTCGTTTGCTCACAATCAACCAGTGCTTCCATTAGGTCCAAATCTAACAATGGAAAAGTATTGTCAAAACCGCATTTGTTCTTCGAGCTGAGAAGAAGAAGAAATCAAAACCCAAGTTTGATGGATCAAAACTCCTCGACCTTCAGCAATCCCTTTCTCCGATGAAGCTCACTTTCCGCTTTTGAAGCTAATTTCATTTTCCTCTACTTCTCTAATTGAAAAATTCAAATATACGGAAATTCTCTAAATTGCTACTGACCATATTTGTAATAATGTATTTGGTTTTTGAGATGATCTTATTGTATTCTCATCATCAGACTAGGTTAATAAAAAGCAAAATCATTAATTATAATTTTAAATCGATTTAGTTAAAATTACATTTTGAATTTACTCACATTTAGAAGTTGAATAATCGAACCTGCTTTAAAGAAAATTCTCCAGTGTTTGAATAGGTTTCCTCGAGCAACAATAATTTCGTGAAATGCACCTGAAAATTCAACTAATTTGTTTCGCAATGACAACAGACTTTAAATAAGATGAAAATTAGGTTTTAAATATTATAGATGGATCTTATTGACACAACTCACTAAATGAAGCGTTCGAAAACGTGTTAAAACTGCGTAGCCAATCACAACTTTCGTGTTTGTTAAACAATTGTTATACTTTATTAGGCATTCTGAAACCATTCAAAATCCTTAAAAAGTGAAGTGAAAATCGAAGTGAACAAAGGTGATGAAAAGTGGAATTCAAGGTGCCTTTCAAGGTAATCGATTCGGCCTTTTGTTCAAATTGAGGTAATTTTCTAGCAGTTTCATAACCTTTAACATTGCATACAAGAAGAACTTTGAACTAAACACGGATACCGCAATTTTACAACAAATTATTTCTTAATTGTCTGATAATTAATTCAATTGGGACAAGCTTGTCACGCCTCTTGAAGTCAGTGATATTACCACAATAAAAAACTAAAGACGTTACTGATGACAAAATTATCGAAGAATCTCCCACAATTTCAGATTAGTTGTAGAAATTAAAGGGTGTAGGAAGTTTTCTATGCCCGAATTCTCGAAAGTGCGCAATTTCTCTCAGTCCATGTTGGTATATCATGCATTTTGTTGAACACACCTCTAGTTACATGATATTGTTCGTCGTTCTGTTAGACATAAATCTTACGGATTTAATCCCATTTTATGTAGTTATGACAATCAATAATTAACTATTATGAAAATTGCTCCCAATGCTATATGGGAAATATTATTTTATTGGCATAAGGAAAATGGTGGCGAAATTTTTTGTTGACTTCTACTGCCTCGAACTTTAAGGCGAATAGTTCATGACTACTTCGTCAGTTAGTACAATTGATTAGATAATATTCATTTTATATTTATGATCGAACGAGACAAAGTAATTGTGGAGCAAACTGAGTTATCTTCGTATTGATTTTAATAAATACCCATATTGCATGTTACCACACAATAGTATAATCTTTTAGGGGAAGCATTTTTCTTGAGGTTAGCGGTTTCCTACATAATTTAAACTTGATCGAAATATATATCTTTGTAAGGCGCAATAAGACAAACTCTTTTGTTGTGTGAAGGCATATTTGCATAAGTCAACTCATTGCTCTTCTGCTTTTTCGCATAAAATAATGATTAAACATAAAAATGCCAGCATTTATAGCTGAAATTGTAAGCGTCGACCAAATATCCCTATGAAATACCTTCTCGATAATTATTTTACAAGCCTAAATTAAAAATTAAATTTCAACCAAATAACTTGCTATTATCTCTAACTGGCAAGATTAACATTTATTCGAGGAGAGAAATACATGGGAAGGATATTGTACCCCTATTAGATATTAATTATGTAATGGGGATAATAAAGAAACCCAGGAACATAAGCTTTACGATTGACTAGTTTATCATGACTACAGGAGCCCACAATGTCGATCCTCTCCTCAAAAAGCCTACATTCTCAACTCAAGAGAAATTGAGCAAAAAATGAATATTCCAAGCATTTGTACTTATCATCGGGAAAAGAAATGGCTTTTTATTATCGTAAGGATCCTTGTTCTGTTTATGACGACTGACATGGATTTCTAATGGGCGATTTCTGTTCGTATTGGGGTTCATTAAAATTCAGTTTTTGTTAGATTTTTGAAAAAATGGAAGTAGACAATTGAATATTTTTGCCGTATCCCTAAATCACTCTCCCTTTAACTATGTATCTGTTTGGCCAAATTCAACAAATTAACGCAGAGTCTTTTGAAAATTTCAGCTGGCCAACTATTAACAAGTGTTCCCTAAATTGAATTGGTCAAAACGCGTGCTTACTGTATCTCTTTGTGCTCCAGTTAAATCGGCGCAATGGACAATGTTTTTTTGAATATTTATATCCTTGCACCATGCTATTAAATTTAGCTTTGACCTAGCCAATGGGAGAGATTTGCAGACTTGACACTTGACCGACTGCTATTGGTTCGTTTGTTAAAATATCCAATCTCATTTAAATGCAATAATTAGAAAGTAAAAACTAGTAGTACGTTAAATAGACAAGGTATTTAAAAATTGTTCAGTAGTTTAACACATCAATCTTCATCAAAGCTATTGAGCTTGAGGAGTTGAGCATATTGTCACAATTTCTATTGTTCTCTACGCTTTCCAAAACCATGTGCCTGAAGATATCAGGAGTTCAAGATTATCATTGATCTACTATGCGTTCTGTTTCGGCAGTTTTTGATTCGAGTTCAGTCTACAGCCAATAATGCAGTAGCAATATTCATGACCTCACCCAACGATAACTTAGCATATTATAACAATTCCAAACTTCCCATGTATTGACTAATATGCTCAAATTCTCCAAAATGTCATAAATCTACTGCTTAACGGCTTCTACTTTGGCTGAATGTAATCCGTGTAACTTAATTCTGGATGTTAGTCCATCACTTAGGTTTCAAGAAGATCGAGTGACACTTATCTCGTGTTTATCTAAATAACCTCTGCTTTCCACTCACCTTATGATCTCTTTATTTGATAGGCCTATTTACTTGATCCTGTTCCATTTCAATTTCTTGAAATAAATTTTAGCAAATATACTAAACTCCACCTTTCACTGGGACATTGTTTTATTTTATTTTCTATAGAGAAATATGGCCACAAACAAATAAGTAAAAATACAATCTTGAAAGAATGTGGGGAGTGTGGGGAGGGAGTGGGTGTATAGAGTAAAAAAATGTTAGGCAAATTTAAACAAAACGGCGTCATCAGGTCAATTATTTGTGAAGTCGGTTACTTGACTGGGTTCACCTTTAATGCTTCTCATATGTCGAAGTAGTGGACCACAACAGGCGCACTTTTTTCGCATCCTCCGACCCACACTCCTCAATCGATTGCGGAAAAATTTGAAGAAGAATAAATAAGTATAGCCATGGATTGCGTATTGTATATCTTTGGTCGAGTTAAAGAGTCGACTCAATTCTGCAACAACAGTTGACTTACAACGCGGTGTGTCAGAAGAATGTCCAGTTCGAATGCAAATTACAACTACAAATGGGATAGTAAATGCGAAGGATATGAAGGATATTAGAAGATAAGCGATAACTCTTTTCATCTCTGTGCGCCCCTCGCTTTGCTCACTTCCAGTCGATATCTTCCTTCTGTGAGATCCTTGCACGGTTAGGAGACACTTTCGACGCCTCAAAAATTTTACCATTTGACCAATAATAATAATATTTATTAAAATGAGTAAAAATGTTGGAATGAGCAATGAGATGATTGTTACGTTCACTTTGGTGTAGTACTGCATGCCTTCGTGCGTCCTGAATGTGCAAATCGCTGTTCGAGTTTTATCTAAAATTGAGCAAAAGTATAGGCAATAAATGCTTCAATTTGAGCCTTGTTAGATGGTGATTAACGAAATTTCTACCTCTGCTCTACGTGGACTTTCCATATAAAGCAGGTGTGAGTTGGTGCCACCTTACTTTATTTAAATCTTGTTCACTTCAATTCCACGCCTTGCTTTGAATGGATAGCAAATGAAATTGAATTGTGAAACACATTACTAATAACTTTATAAATAGATCCCAATCTTTGAATTTAAAAACACACATCTACTATAAATTATGCCAATATAGCTTGTAAAATAGATGCAATCCAAGAATTTAAGCTCTTTCTTCCTCGGTAAGAGATATGCTAAAAGATGTGTCGTGATCATTTATTTGCTATAGATTTAATTTGATTTCAATAAAAGTGGAATGCACCTGCATCAAATGACATAAAAAAATCACGTAACTGGATCACATACTTTCCAAAAATGAACCCGAATTTTTGTTAAGAAAATACAAAAATGAGCATTTCTATAACATTTTTAATTCTGCGGCATCAATGGTGCTATTTCGAGAATAAAATTTAAAAAAGTTTAAGAGGTCATATTTGAAGTTTCCATAGACTCCGCACATTTTGATCGTACATTACCTTTACAAATAAAATTCTAACGGTAAGTAGCGAAGCGGATGAATCTACAATATACTTAAACTGCTTTGACGTATTAACCAGGTTTATTTATGGAGTGATTAGACGTTAAATCGTACTTTGCAAGCTTTCGGGTACTTTAGTACTTAACAATTGTCAATTAACTCAGCTTGCGACCTGGTCGGCCAATGCTGAGGGACTTTCCATTACGCAAATCAAAATGGGTGCAAGAAGACCAATGGAAAGATCCGACTCTAAATGAACTCAACTTCAGTAACTGAATTTGATTGTGTCGATTTGACAAGGCAGTCACTTTCTTCTCTACACCACTTATCGCCTATTCGTCGATCTATCTGACCTTAACGCACCAATTGGAAAATACTTTTTCACATCACACTCTCTGCGATGGTGTAAGATAACCGAGTCTATATATTTTAAGGTAATATGCACACATATATTCCACTATGCCCTTTTGTATATAGGCTGATTGGATACCTAGACGCCTTGATTAAGGCTACACATAATAGGAAATTGATTTGAATTATTCAAACGTCATGATCAGAACATGTTTTCTCACTAGATTAAAACTTTATAGTTGAATTGATTTGTATAAATTGGACATATGTTTGTAACTACCTTTCGTTCAACCATAGGCCATTAAAAAGTGAATTGTACAAACTTGAAATAAGCTAGATAACAGTAGATGGAATCATTATGATTTGAATTTGCAGCTGAATTATCGATTTAACTACCTGCCAAGAAATCGTTTTCTCCAACACTGATCTTGAACTAAAGAAAATCATCAAAACTTGAAAAATTAGTATTCATTTTCTTAAGTAGCCTACATATATAATCTAAACTTCAAATTATGTTGGTCTTGATGGTTCTGATTTTATAACCAGTACTAAAAAATGAAAGAAATTATAAAATCTAACAGAAACTTCTAAGAGATTTATGTAAGTCCATATAAACGTTCCCATTAAAACCGATGTAAAGCAACTGATAAAAATCCTTTTAAAATGCTTATCTACGGAAACAGGCTATCCGAAAGATATGGATTTTATTATTTCGTGTAAATGTCCAATTCCAGTTAACCAGCTCTTCCATTTAGGCGCCGGAGTAGACATTTTATGCGTATTTTACGTAGATGTTCATCTCATATTAAGATACTGCCGCCTCAATTATTGCAAACAATTCCTCACCATGCTCAATCTATTCTGTTGGATTGCAAACGTGATGTGCAATTAATCTGGAAATTTCCAGTGCACCGCCATATCAACTCCTGCCTTCCCTTACCACGATTACCCACTTTAATTAATAAAAATCCACAGCCCTCAGCTGGTATATCCGCCTTGACCCCAACGATTGCCAATTGGCGAAAAGGGCTGGCTGGGAGGGATTAATTGACCTTAGAAACCGACGTTGAGACTAGGCAACAGCCCGCAGCCAATTAAACGAGCAGTTTTTAGACGACGAATAACCGCGTTTTTATTTATTGGAATAAAATCTAACCCATAGAAATACGAAATTATGTTTATTTTCTTGTGTGCCTGTGTAAGATACATTACCAAACTAAGAAGAACTCCCACTATTTTAAATAAATAAATATTCAGTCTCAAAAACGAATGAGCGTAGATTGCAATCAAAATGTGATAATTCTTGTTAAAACCAGTATTAAAATATATCCATTCTATGATTATCACTATATTAGTTTAACAAGATAATATCGCAAATTCCGCATTGCACCAAGTTGGTGCTAGTTATTAGCTGTAGGAAATTTTGAGGAATTGCATACACCGATTTAAACAACTAACAAAATATTCCCTTACATAAAGGAACAAGGAAATGTGCGGCTTCCAGTTACCGAGAAAGTATGCAGAATGGGAACACATGCATGATTTATTCACGAAAGAACGAAGTCTTCATTTTGAACAGTATTTTGACTTCAAATAATTTTTTAATGAGAAGAGATGAAACACGTTAAGTTCAATCTGCTTTTTACTGACCATATGAGGAATGTTAACATTAATTGGAGGACAAATGCGGACACGCAAATGACCTCAGGCAAATAGCTATGTATGAAGTAATGTAAATAAGAACAAAAAAGTCGGAAGTAAATTCAAAATAAAAAAACACATTACGTTTCATATTTAGTTATTTAGTTTCATATAAGATATCCAAAATGCGCAGTAATTTATTTGAAACTGAGTTCGAGTTTATAGAACTTGTAAAGTGAAAGGCTCACCTCTACGTCCTATACTGTTTAAATACCTAAGCCCCTTATGGATTATTAAGTAAATTCATGTTCACAAATTTATGGTGCATATTGACAACTTGATTAGTTTAAACTACGCTTAAATTCCTATTAATAAAGTTAGAGTAATGTGTCAGTCTATAAAATTTGTTTTCATCATCATTAATTGATTAAATCTTTTAAACTTCAAATCCAATGATGGGCAATCTAAAATCTGAAAGTTACTTAATGTCAATTAAATTAGAACAAAGGTTGTTTTTGCTCAAGGCACCTTTCAGGTGCAAGACAACTAAACGAGCCGATGTGAATGACTGAATATGATCCCTGTTGAAGCTTTTAATTGGGATGGAAGAATTAAATAAAAGAAATTTGAAATGTTTTTTAGATGGAAAAAATCTTTTGAATTGCCCACTCTTATCAATACTGGTATTTAAGGACTTAGAAAGAAAATCCATTAATTAAAGAGTCCATGAGTATTACGATAGTGCGGGGTGCTGTAAGCAATCAGAAGTTTTTTCCCACATTTTAAAATACAGTTAACGCTATGCTGCTAATTATTTGCCTTAGATTAGAATTCAATATATAATTGAACTGATTAAAATAGAACGAAACTCCACACGATCGAACAAATCGAAACGTTTGCAAAGCAGTTAGAAGTAATTATTCAAATTAAGAATTTGCAAAATAGTTCAATGTGAAGTATGGCTCTTACGGCACTGATTAGAACTTTTTCCTTCTAGCAAGACCTAAGTTTAAAGCTACTAAATGTGAATTCTGGGATATTTAAAGGCCACCGTTCAGAGCTGTAAAAATTGTCCGCCACTTGCACAACGAATTCAGAATATTTAAATCAAATTACATATGCCTATTAAATGAAGTTGCAAGCCTTATTGCCTTAAAAGATACCCACAATGTGTGGCATGCATGAATTAGCAATTCCTCATTAGACAGACGCACTGGCATGAAACTCACCCACAACTGTGGGTACAAATAATGAATTGAGATTCTCCCTTGATGAATAATTAATACTTCAATAAAAATTTATTGATTAAGGAAATGTAGGTTAATGATGTCTGCAGGAGAGAACTAACAATATTACAATAAATTTGTGCAATAGTAATAATAGAAAAAAGCTGAAATATAAGAACGATGAGTTTTTTACTAGGCTTTATCAATTGCATTGAAGGTTAGATATTCATGTTCCAATTACGTGTCTTATTGTCTGTTACAAAGTCTAATGGGGATGAGAATGATTGTTTTCTATGATGTGTTGGGGAGGTTATTGTTCACCTCTTTCATTAACTGAACAATTGGACTCATCATTAATTTGAAATTAGAAAGGCCTTCAGTAGAATTCTCACAAATTGAAAGTGCTCCGGTATTTGGAGGAGTTTAGAAACACGGGGTTTCGGAATTTAAATCATAAATCAATTGAAGTTAAAGGTTGGGTAAAATTTAATATTGTTTGCGAATTCAATAAATATCGTTTCTAACTTTATACTGCGTTGCCAACTGACTGTGACAAGGTAGAAAACAGATCTCAGTTATGCCCCAAAATCGTATCGGAATTCAATGAATTTTTCGGAGTTTGCTAGAGCTAACAGCGTTTAGATTAAAGAAAAGTTAAAAGAGTCTAAAACTTGAATTTATTTTCCACAGAAATAACCCAGTCCTTAATGGCAAAATTAAGCCCCATTGTTGTTCTATTTGTTCCCTTCCTTAATGAGACATGAATCCTAAAATTGCCTACAAATAATCAAATTTCAATAGAATTCACAACTCCAAATTCCCCACTTTCCTTCTAGAGAAGATCTGCATTATAATTATGTAACGTAGCCATGTTCATGATCACCGTATTATTGAAATTGCTTCGTAAAAAAAGCTATGGAGATCTAAGTTTTATCCTTAGAGTTCGAGGACAATTTATATTATAACCCAGTACCCGCATACCTTTTTAGCATTTGCATGAACTTGACCTAAAAGTTTCG